ATATTTCACATGCATACACAAGCTATCCTTTCTAATTTTCATCAAAACACCTATGCTTCCTTGGGAAGTAAGTTAAGGTTTCACTGCTTGTTATTCCAATACTTCTGCTTGATTATTTCAATTATGTAACTTCTGACATGTGAGAAACTATGTGAATTTAACTTGGCAACAGGAAAAAAAGCCCTTAAAGTCAGATGAAGCAGGTTAGAATAGTCTTTTAATAGAAGCAAAAAACCCTCTATATCTTTAGTCACTTAATGCTAGGCAAAACATTTTGTCACTGCATTGACAGTTTATGTAACAATTTTGCTTAATTTGTCTGTTCTTCCTGTTGACCCAATGGTTTTCTGAGAAACTTTTCTGTAATAGATTTTAGGGCAAGACTGTTTTTCAGATTTAAAATAGAGAGTCTTGAATGTCTCAATTATATTTCTAATAATAGAAACATGCACTCACAGGCATTTTTAGTGATATTAATTGGGGAAATCCAACTAACCGATTCTTGATTTCCTTTTTTTCTTCCAGTGACTTTAAATGAATGATCTAATCTGCGCATCTGTGAATACAAGGTATTGGCATAAAAGGTTGTAGTATACACATACAGTACAGTTTGTAAAGGTTCTGGTGGGAGTTTTCCCAATATTATTCTGTTAAGTAGATTGAGTCTGTTCTTTCAGTGATATGGAATGTAACGCACATTTGCAGGTGTTATGAGGTCCACAGTGATAGATGCAAATGGTAGGAGGTGGTAGGCATCAGCTGTGCGCTGACAAGGAATGTCCTATACTCTTCATATTCATTAAGAAGCTTCTGCATATCAAATTCATTGTGCCTATTTTTTTATTTCTACTACAGTTTGTTGTGTTACATTCATGCTATCAGTGCAAATACAAAGCTTCCCCTCAAAGATCGTAAGACTGTAGAATAAGAGGCTGGAAGGGATGTTTTGAGATGCTCTAGTCCTTACTCCAAGGCAGAGCCATTTGGCCCTGTTAGGTCAGGTGGCTCAGGGCCTAATGTTGGACTGATTCTAATGTGACAAAAAGATAAGAAAGAAAAACAGTAACAAAAAGCCTGAAAGTTTATCTTTCTATCTGCCACCTGTGTCTTTTCTAAGGCAGCATTTTCTTCATCTGTTTCTTTCAAGTCAAATTTTAAAAAGTTTTTCTAGATGTGCAAACTTCATATGGTCTTACTGGGATCCTTTGAAAGTCATCTTTTCCGTCAGTTATGAGGCCTGGTTTTGCATCTGAACCTTGCCATAAATGAGCTTCCCACAGCTGCAACCTGCCCTCCTGTAAGTTACTTATTATTGTTATTATTATTCCACCTATCTAACCAGACCATATTCTTCTCCCTGCTCAGATTTTCTCCATCCTCTCCCAACTTGTTGCACCATTAAAGCTTCTCCTTATAAGCATACATGCCTTCTTCCAGGAAAAGAAGCTCTTCTAGAGATTCTTACCTGACCCAGGGCAAAACAAGCAAGACAAAAGCACCTCACCTACATCTTTTTAAAAAAGCATGAAGCTTATGATGCACTGAAAACAAGCAAATGTTATACAGCCACCACAGCATTCTTAAGGACTCTTTTCATAGAGACTTAGGGATATTCATTTTCTAGGGATCACAGCCACAGAGGAATGGTACCCAAACAGACAAGTTGACAGTTTTTGAAAGAATTTGAAAGCCCAGATTTGTTTTCTTCTAAATGTCTGTAGAATTTGAGTCCCAGTCCTTCCCAGCTCCTGTTTTGGCAGCTACTTCTGACAACAAATAGCACTTGGTTTCTCACATCTAAATTGCCTATTAGTTACTTTGTGTAATGGACTCAGGTCAATCTAATTTAAGTAAATGTTCTGGAGCATATTAATTACTTAGAACCTTAGCTGTAAAATAATCATATTCTTCATGAACATGATGTGACCTATTAAGTTTCTTCAGGCCCAACTGGTTGTTTTTTTTTACGTTTTAACATTTTGTACTCTTTTCACAAATGGAAACCTAAGGAATACTAACTGTCTCTGTTATATGATCCAGTCTATTTAACCAGTCTATTGTTGGCAGAGGGCCAAATGCTTACAATTCTTCACGTATAAAATTCATGATCATTTCCATTTAATAAGACCTCAACATGAAGAACAGCAGCCAGATGGATTAAAAAAAAAAAAAAATTCTATCTAAACCAGAATGCATTTAAAATATTTTAACCATTTCTTGACTTACAAAATTCTTTGTGTTTTTCTTCCATAACAAATTAGTATTTTGTAGGCTAAGGTGAATACAGAAAGCTCTCTCTGAAATTAGGCATCCTGGGACTTATAAGGTGACTCAGATAAGAAAGCTATTTATTCATTTTCGTTTTCTGTAAATTGAGTTTTCTAATATTTTGTTCTCTTAGCTGAAACTTTTTGTGGGGCTTTATATTAAGTAGATGAGGGGTTACGTTCTTCAAATCTAAACATTTAGGCAGCCATATAATAGAGAGGGATTAAATTAGCTTTTTTTTTTTCTCAAGCAAAGATCGTAGCTGATTCCCTCTTCTCCTTTAATTGTCATTTAATTCCCATAAATCCCCAGGTTTGTTTTTTTTTTTAATGTGTGTTTGCATTGATATACATTTTGTGCATTCACTCTGTAGTGAACCAGGCAGTAAGCCTTGCAATGACTTTTGACATATCATAGAATCAAAGAAAAGTCAGGGCTGGAAGAGACCTTAAAGATCACCAAGTTCCAACCCCCCCGCCATGGGCAGGGACAACTTCCACTACACCAGGTTGCTCAAAACCCCTTCCAGCCTGGCCTTGTTGTTTCCAGATGATTCCAGTCTGATATTTTCCCTGCAAATGTTTCTTTATAAAGTTTTAATTTAAACTCATGGTGTATATGCAAGTTTTACTTTTAAATTTTTTTTCTACCTGATACATAACCTGACAGCAGATTTTATTTTCACAGTTTCATAATTGTTCCTCTAATATTCCATGTAATTGATTTTGTTTTATTTCTTTAGTAGCTTGAGTATATGTATAATATACTGTGTTGTACATAAATATACATATAGTTTAAAAAATATAAATGTATTGTAGCATGAATATCCTCTGTACACCTTCTGTGGTGCCCTGGAAAGATGTGTGCTGATGCAACACATAAAATTGAAAATGTTAATTAATATTGGATGAAGATAATTACATGGTGACATTGATGTTTGGGTCATCAAAGAAAAGAGTTACTTTTTACAGTGCAACTGTGTTATTTGATATTGACTTTCTTTTAATAGCAAAATGCTTGGTTGGTGGTTTAATTTCTCAAGGTGCATGGAAAATTATCTTCCCAAATAGGTATATTTAAATGTAAATTCTGGAGTTGATTGATGCTATGATTATTTTTTTTAACGTTTCATGATTCATTAGAAGTGATTAATAACTGTTTTGCATTTGCATATGTGAATATGCATGCAGCTGTTCAAGAGATAACAAGGGGACTGGCTGATCTGAGGAGGTACCTGTAAGGCAAGTCTGTGGTGCCAGGTCCTAGAGCTTGTTAAGCTCATACTCAAGTGGTGTGCTTAGGTTCAGATCCTCCATGAAGCAATCACAACAGTTATACTCAAAATGTACTTTGTACCTTACACTGCTTGAGGTGCCTTTTCACCTCAGCAAATCAAGCCTTTTTTTTTATTATTATTATTTCATGAAAAGGGGAAGAGTATCTTACACATCTCTTGTCTTCTATAAAAGGGGCATCCTTCACTCACAACCTTCATTCTGAGTATGTGCAGCATTTGTGCTGCCTGATGCTGCTGTTCCTACTGTCAGTGATTCAGGTAAGATCTGTGACCAGGAGGCCTGCCACAGGCCATTTTCAGCTTCTGGAACTGAACACAATGAATTGTCATCTGCCCCAAACGAAAAGCACATACTTTGAGGTGAGCAAGGCTGTTTGTTCCTGCTCTCTCCTCACCCTCATAGTAAAATGGGTTACATACATGTAGAATGGACTCAAGTATATATTGAGCAACATACCTCCTTCTAGGAATCACATCCCCAAGGCAAGAAATAACTGTCATCTTATGAACCCTGGCTATGCCAACTGGTGTCAGTAGAAAGTGAGGATGAGGAGAGGAGTAAAATTTGTTGTAAGAATATGAAGGACAGAAGCAACATATTAAGTAAAACAGTGTGACTCAGTTCTTCACAGTGGAACTTCTAGTCACATAACCTCTTCTAGTCTTTTCTTCTTTTATCATACTGAGACTCTTGTGTCCTAAATAATAATTTTGTGTATAGATAGGCTAGGCTAATTCTTTAATAGACAGTATCTCTGAAGCATTGCCTGTGGGTGATTTAATGGCTGGCACTAGGAATTCTTCAGAAGTTTAGGGAAGCATACGAAGACTTTGAGTTGGGCTTGTGTACGTCTGAAGTGTGTAAGTCTGACTACAGAATTACGTACAAAGGGGTAGGGAGCAGTGGAGCTGGCCTTGTCTTTGTAGCAGTCTTCTGTAAGTTGCAAATGAATTTAGAGACTCTGGAATTTCAGGAAAAGCAGAATAATTGAGGCTTTGCTAGCAATTTTTGCAGTACAACTACCTTATGCCACACTCTTGGCTGGTCAGGCCCAAGAGCAGACTTATAAAAAGCACGTGACCGTGGTGACTACAGACTGACTTTTTGTCGTGGTTTAAAACCAGTCAGGCAACTCGTTCACTCACTCCCCCCTTTCTTTCCCTCCCCCTACTCCCGGACGGACTGACAGGAGAACCAAAAAGAATGCAACTCCCACGGGTTGCGATAAGAACAGTTTAGTAACTAAGGTACGACACAAATCACTACTGCTACCACCAATAATAATAATGATAAAGGAAATAACAAGGGAAGAGAATACAACATCTCACCACCAGCCAACTGATAACTCGCCTCCCCCCAGCCCCACCAAGCACTGACCGATACCTCCTCCAACCCTGCAGTCTCCCAGCCCTTCCGGCTAGCTCCCCGTTACATCCTGGGCATGACGTGCTGTGGTATGGAATACCTCTTTGGTCAGTTTGGGTCAGGTGTCCTGTCTCTGCTTCCTCCCAGCTTCCCCTCCTCCCTGGCAGAGCATGAGGCTCAGAAAGTCCTTGGTCAGACTAAAACATTTGAGCGGTAACTAAAAACATCAGTGCTATCAGCTCCGTTCCCAGGCTGAAAGTCAAAAACACAGCGCTGCACCAGCTACCAAGAAGGAGAAAAAATGACTGTTACTGCTGAACCCAGGACACTTTTACGTCTCCAGAACTGCTCAGAGTGCCTTTTGTACATGGCATTTTGCTTTACAACTCCCACCTCAAACGGCTTTGCTTCTGGTTGACAGTGTAAGGAGCTTGAAGTACTGAGCAGCAGTGGGAGATACTGGTAATGTAATTGCTGACATCTGACCATGGCTGATCTCCTAGCAAGTCCCTATGGAGCCTGCCCTGTGCCTACTCACCAGTCGTATTGTTCCTCTCTGATGGTGTTAGGTTGGAACAGTCATTTCCCTTGCTGGCCTTACAACTCTCTATTCACTTGATGAGTTTCAGCCCTGTTTATGGACTGAGAGGTGTTCCAGAGTGTGCTTAAACAATGGGTGCAGTATAACACTAGGGTGTAGGAGGAGCCTGTGTGATATCCAAAGGCTGTGACTTCAGGCAGGTGTGGGAGGAAGAAGAATTAGAAAAGTAAAGCTCCTCAGTAAACTACATCCATAATCAATTTGCTATGGACATAAAGCCACAGAAAGCAGCAGTCCTGCCAGTAAAACAATTTAGAAGAAGGGGTTTTTTTAAACTGATGCTGTAACACAGGATCTGTTATTATTTACAGGAGTCACCTATTTCTGCTTAGGGATATCTCAGTTCTTGTCAAATACATACATTGCATAGATACATTGCATAGAGATTCTAGCATTGCAGGACGGCTGTGCTTTGCTGGATGACTGAGGGTTGAGTGCTAGAATAGTCTTCCTTTTGTTTGCTGAAAAGCAAAAAAGTCTAGCCAGGCTATGGAGAGCACATATAGTCCTCCTTTCTTTTCCAGTTTCTAAATTGAAAACTGTTAAGTTTAATGAAAATACTATATATCCCTTTATCTTTGGAGATATATGCTATCTGCTCTTTTAACCATCTGTTACTTTTATTTTTCCATTTTTCCATTTTCACTACTTAGATTAAAGGAGTTAAGCAGAGATTTCTAAGATTTGTCTTCACATTCCCATCTTCACAGGAATGAAGCAGTTGATGTCATCTATGAGCAGTTGATGTAATCTATCTGGACTTGTGCAAAGCATTCGACAAAGCATTCGACAATGTCCCACATGATATCCTTCTCTCTAAATTGGAGAGACATCAATTTGATAGGTGGACCACTCAGTGGATAAAGAACTGGCTGGATGGCTGCACGCAAAGTGTTGTGATCAATGGCTCAATGTCCAGCTGGAGAGCAGTAACGAGCGGTGTCCCTCAGGGATCGGTGTTGGGACTGGTCTCATTCAACATCTTTGTTGGTGACATGGACAGTGGGATTGAGTGTGCCCTCAGCAAGTTTGCCGATGACACCAAGCTGTGTGGTTCGGTTGATACGCTGGAGGGAAGGAATGCCATCCAGAGGGACCTTGACACATTTGTGAGGTGGGCTGATGCCAACCTCATGAAGTTTAACCATGACAAGTGCAAGGTCTTGCACCTGGATCGGAGCAATCCCAGTCACAGCTACAGGTTGGGCAGAGAAGAGATTCAGAACAGCCCTGCGGAGAAGGACTTGGGGGTGAACATGAGCAGGCTTCAGTGTGGGCTTGCAGCCCAGAAAACCAACCGTGTGCTGGTCTGCATCAAAAGGAGTGTGACCAGCAAGTCAAAGGAGGTGATCCTGCCCCTCTACTCTGCCCTTGTGAGACCTCACCTGGAGTATTGTGTGCAGTTCTGGTGTCCTCAACATCAAAAGGACATGGAGCTGTTGGAACAAGTCCAGAGAACGGCCACGAGGATGATCAGGGGACTGGAGCACCTCCCATATGAAGACAGGCTGAGAAAGTTGGGGCTGTTCAGCCTGGAGAAGAGAAGGCTGCGTGGAGACCTCCTAGCAGCCTTCCAGTATCTGAAGGGGGCCTACAGGGATGCTGGGGAGGGACTCTTCGTTGGGGACTGTAGTGATAGGACAAGGGGTAATGGGTTAAAACTTAAATAGGGAAAATTTAGATTGGATATAAGGAAGAAATTCTTTCCTGTTAGGGTGGTGAGGCACTGGAATGGGTTGCCCAGGGAGGTTGTGAATGCTCCATCCCTGGCAGTGTTCAAGACCAGGTTGGATGAAGCCTTGGGTGATATGGTTTAGTGTGAGGTGTCCTTGCCCATGGCAGGGGGGGTGGAACTAGATGATCTTAAGGTCCTTTCCAACCCTAACTATTCTATTATTCTATGATTCTGTGACTTTCAGGTGCAATTCACTTGCATCTGTGTAGTTCCACTGTGAAGGAGCGGTCTTTCTATAAGTTTATGCTATTCCTTTTGAATTGTTGCTGAATTTTGGATTGTTTTGTTTTTTCTGTGGTCTTATTTGATATTCATTCCCACAGTCCTGAAGAATTTGTGATGGGTTACTTAAGCAGAGCTCTGTGAGGTGCATTTTTTTCCTGTGAATGGCCAGGGAAAATGAATGACAATAATAGATCGTGAACTTTTCCAGAGCATTAATCAATCATGATACAAAGTAAATTTAGATAATTTTTTTTTTCTGTTAGATTCTAAATAGTTAATTGATAATTGAGCAATTTTGTTCTTGACGTGGGAGAGCTCCTGGAGAAGTAGAAAGTTTCTGAAACTTAATTCTCTGTGGGGTGGTCCAACACACAATGAACCTTACAAGCTTCCAGGCCTAATGGGCTATCCTTCCAGCTTGCCAACTCTGATTAAAGACAAACTCTGTTTCCTTATGTCATTCTATCAGCTTGCATAAAATCATTCACAACTGCATAAACCTGTCAAAGCACATATTCAAACTTGCCTAGTCTCCTGAATGAAGCAAATTTCCTTTCTTTTTCTTCTGGGTGTCATGGTCTTCTGAATTAATTGTTTGAACTCTTTGCTTCTGCTTCTGTGGAGCTGACAGGTAGCACATTTCTCATTAACAAGGTATTTTGCTTGTTCTGGTGTCACGCTGCTACTTTTCTTCATGCTGCACGGTGAAACTATTTCCTAGTCAAAGTAAGACAATGGGTCTGAGAGGTTATTACTGTAAAAATGACTGGCACTACATAATAGCACAGATGTATCCTTGAGAAAGAATCTTGACAAAAACTTCAATATTATATATTGAGTATAGATATTATATATTGAATAATAATTATGATATATTGAATATATAGAGAAAAAATTGAATTTTTATTTTTCTTTTACTTCATCTGCAGCTTAATAGGCACTAACAGTATCTCCATTTGTGATTATGACATATAATCTATAAAAATACAGAAAATGGAGTGATAGGAAGCCAAGAAAACTCCTACAAACTTTCTGAAAGGATAGTGGTCTTTACTTTGAAAGTTTGGTCAATAATAATGTAAAACAACTGTCCCAAATATCCTTGACTATCCTTTTCTTATGTATGTTTTACTTGCTCCCACAATTAAAACATAAATTAGAAAGAGCAAAAGCAGAATCTGTTATGACTCTAGTTCTCTCCATCCAGAAACTTTGCAAACTACTTTACAAATCATATACTTTCACTCCATTGATACGTAGCTTCTTTACAGTGAAATAGGAGGCTTATTCATGTAGAACAACTCTAAATATGTTTGAAGCAGATACTGTCACAGACTTCATGAAATGCAAATTCCAAAGTGATTTTTCAAGCAGATAAAGCGTAATTATCCACTTTAATGTTTTAGGTAGGGTCATTAAGCCATAAGCTTAATTTGTTGCTACTGCTTTGTAATATCTGGGTACTTCACTGGACTTTAATGGATCTAACTTCACAATACCATTGCATATGCTGCCATCGTATTTGAAAAATACTTGTGTGTCCTTCCCTGACCTGTGTTTGTCTTACCTGCTTAGCTTAAAACTGCCTGAAGCAATGCTAAACAATAATATCAGTCTGTTGCTCCTTTTCCTGAAGCAGTCTGAGTCATCAATCAACTTTTATATATTTAATGTATAATAACAAATATTGATTATCCTTTCCAATTATGGTAAAAGAACACTAATAATTTTAAAGGATTAAAAGATTGTTTTATTCTTATAAATATAAGGAATGTTCAAAACATCTGAAATCTAAGACTGTTGTATACGCAAAATGTACTTTAATATAAATTCTAGCACTTCAAAGAATGTAATCCTTTTTTAATTATTATCAGAAGAGAGAGCACCTGAAATGAATGACAACTGCAGTTAAGGTGACTGAGATGTGGTGTGACTTACCTATCTCTGGTCAGTAAGTTGACCAAGTCTCCTGCCTTGTACTTTGATAAGGAGGTAAATACAGAATTTTCTTCTACATAGAGGTGTGCTCAGGCAGTTTGTTAGATGACTACGTTATCTAAGTTACTAATGCATTGGTGCATAACTGGAATTGAAGAGGTGTAGGTTCTTCTTGATCTCCTGCATAATTTCAGGTTTAAACAAATCACAAAATTGCGTGTGTGTGAGGAGAACAAAGTCTTTGGCAAAAACAAAGAATAAGTTACATGAAGGCCAAAATTTAATATGGGACTTAGTGCGTGCTGAGCCAGCAGAATCTGTTAGTCTTGGTTGCATAGATAGCAGCCTGTTTTCAAGTGTTAGTAACAATTCAAGTGGTCTTCGGGGGTCCTAACTCTTTCCCTTATGAACTACAAAGAAAGGGCAATGGCCTGCACAAACCAATTACTAATAAAGAAAATCAACTCACTAACTTCACTCTGGATGTCCCAAACAATAAGGATGCAACGAGTAAAAAGACCCTTAAACTTTATGAAATACGTACATAGGAATGTTAATTCCTATAAAAACTTTTTATACTTTTGCCATTAAACTTGAGGATACTGAGTACTGATAGAAGATTCAGAAACAGTAGGGGGTTGATTGTTACTGACCTTGGATCACATGCCTGTTTAGCCTCAGCACTGTGCTGGACACATTCTATGCCTAGAAAGC